TCCCCGCCTCATTTTTCACCCCTACACCTATCTCACCAGCACCAGCTCCTCTCTCAACCACCCCTATAGCTATGCACCCTGCTCAACCACCTGCGCAAAAACGAAAAGTCTCGACTCCCACATTGTCATTCGATGAGCGAGTAGAACAAGTCGAAGCGAAACTAGAGAAGGTTGACAAAGAGAAAGAAAAAGTAACCAATCTTGAGGAAAAACTAGATAATTTTATTTCCTTCTCCACAGCTTCCTTGCAGAAGCTACATGAGTCCGTGGCCTCGATACAACAAGCCATGTTACCGATGCAACAAACCCTAGATAGAGTCACGCTGTGGATCGACACGGTCCGCGCTAATCAACCAGTGCTTGCTCAACCTAAGCCAAATCAACTTAGCGAAAATGGCTGCTCGTAACCACACTGAACTTTGCGTATGGCAATGGAACTGCAGGGGGTTTCGCCGAAAAAAGGCAAACCTCCTGCAGTACATCAAATCCCAAACTACCCCTCCCCCAATCATTGCGTTACAAGAAACAAATGGTGTAGTGCAGCTGCCAGGTTATAGAACGCATCAAAACCCGGCTGATACTAAACCAAACACTGCTGTCTTAACTCAGAAGTACCTTACAGTTACCTATTCAAGGTTTGCTGACATCGACATTGAGTCCGACTTTCTCCAAATACTACCTGATAAACTTAACTCACCATTCTTATACATTCTCAACGTATATAGTAGACCGCAAGAGCAAAGGCACCGCTTCGATTCCCTATTTGCCCGGGCGACATCCTCGGCAGGCAAACACACCCTCCTCATTGTGGGGGATTCCAACGCCTCCCACCCAGCGTGGGGTTACACCGCATCTACACCGAAAGGTAGAGCCCTCTGGTCCCCACATCGTTTTACACTGCACAATGACCCGGAGGAGCCTACTCGTTTGGGGAACAGTGTGAACAAAGATACATCCCCCGATCTTACCCTCACCCACAATGCCCCCCCCCCCAATGGTTTGGACTAACACCCAAACTAATCTTGGCAGTGATCATTACATTATTAGCATTACATTGCAACTAAAACACAGACCCATATTGCACTTAAACCACTGATGCTCACAGAATGGGACAAATTTAGAGAGACCCGCAACAGCACCGCTCCCTCACGTATTGCAGACCTTACCGAGTGGACTCAACAGCTTCAAAAAGATGTTGAAATTCACACGAAAACTCTACCCCCGACACCCCGATAACTACTCTCGACTCCAAGCTTCTCCATATGTGGGAAGCAAAACAGTCACTTCTGCGACGGTGGAAACACCAGCGCCACAACAGGAAACTCCGCATTAGGATAGCGAAGCTAGACCAACAAATCGAGCGATATACGACGATTCAATTGGCGGCACAACAATGGGGTCAGCTTTGTGAAGGAATGCATGACCGCCTCAGTAATAAACGACCGTGGCAACTTCTTAGACATCTGCTAGACCCCAGCACTTCTCGCGCACGACACTCTCACGCTATCACTAAACTGTTACACAAGCACAGTTACCATTTAGGACAGCTCTTCGATAACCTCCGCACGTTGCATTTACCTCAATTACGTAAGGATTCTATACCATCTCACACAGGGAAACCTAATGAGTCATTAGATGCGCCGATAACGGAAGCGGAAGTTAGGCACGCCCTCGCAACACTCCGTACCACATCGGCTTCAGGCCCAGACCGCGTTAACAACAAATTACTTAGAAATCTTGACCCTATTTCTGTTAAAGCTTTGACCGAGTACTTTAATGACTGTTTTGACACGGGCACTCTTCCACCTTTGTGGAAAGATGCCAGAGTCATATTTATACCTAAACCGAGCAAAGCTCCCTTAGTAGAAAATCTGAGGCCCATTTCCTGCATCGTGCCTCGGAAAGACGCTGCATCGTGCCTCGGAAAGACTATGGAGCATGTTGTGCTTGCACGCCTCCAGAGACGCGTGGAGGATAATGGACTACTGCCTCCAGAAATGATTGGTTTTAGGCCCTCACTTTCCGCGCAAGATGCGATGCTTCGCCTTCAAGACGACCTCATAACTCCTAAACAGAGCAAGGATACTCAGGCAATCCTTGGTCTAGACATACATGGAGCATTCAATAACGTAGCCCACTCAGCTATATATGCTGGCCTCAACTGCATTTCTTGTGGCGCTAAAATCTACTCTTACATCAAAAGCTTCCTCACAGACCGCACAGCCACATTAACATTAGGACTAGGACATTCCTCACCCTAATCACTAGGCAGCTTTGGAACACCTCAAGGGTCAGTGCTCTCTCCAATCCTTTTTAACCTGGCTATGCTACCTATACCCAATGCTCTTCAACGTATCCCTGACTTGAACTTCTCCATCTATGCCGATGATATCACCTTAAGGGTAAAAGGAGGCTCAGATGGACACATTCAAGACACCCTACAAACAGCTGTAGATGCAATAGCAGCACTAACATCTCAGATGAATCTCTATTGTACCCCAACTAAATCAGAGTTACTCCTTCTACCAACTCATCGTCGGAACAAACACGTTCCAATGATTGAAGTTCACATAAATGGGTGCCTCATTCCTACAGTATCACGCATTCGTGTGCTAGGTTTATTTATCCAAAACAACCGACTTAATACGTACACACTCGAAGCTTTACGCAATACCATTGAAAACACCCTAAGAATGATAGGAAGAATGTCAGGGAAAAATAGAGGGCTCCGAGAATCAGAGTTACTTCGTGTAATACAAGCTTTTGTGATTAGTAAAATCACGCATACCCTTCCTTACCTTCACCTTAAATTAGCAGAGGAGGAATCGGTCAACACCCTCCTCCGCAGAGTTTACAAATACGCGCTAGGCATTGGAATCAATACCTCTAACGCACTACTCCACCAGACAGGAGTCATAAATACCCTATGTGGAATCCGTGAAGCCCATTTAACAGCTCGATACGCAAGGCTCGCGACCACTAGCGCAGGTCACCACATTTTATCGTCTAGCCGAATTAACTTCACCTCACTCACCAATGCTAAATACAACATTCTCCAAAACATACACAAACAATTACTCATACCACCACTTCCTAAAAACATGCATCCAACATATCATACTAAGCGCAAAAGCTCTTCAGAAAAAATTGCATGGAGCCAATGACGTGCTCTATGTCGATGCGGCAGTATACCCATCCTCCTCATCCTATGCACTCTCTGCTGTCGACTATAACGGCAAGGCGCTCACAACGGCATCCATCACTGTCAACTCTTCGGAGGAGGCAGGGGAGGCTGCCATCGCTTTAGGTCTATCCATCCCCAATATCACTATGATTGTAAGTGACTCCAAAACTGCCATACGCAACTTCAGCGCAGGTCGCATCTCATCAAATGCCCTTTCAATTCTTGAGAAACATCCTCCCACGCAAGACGTTGCTCTCATATGGACGCCCGCGCATGCGGGGTTGAGTGGCAATGAGGCGGCTCATACCTGTGCTCGAGGAATGACCGGCTGAGCGCAGGCCTCTGATGGCGCCTTAGACCACGCGGCCTTTTTCAGCGCGAGAGATCTTCTTTTGACCGTCCACAATATAACAAATCACTACCGCCTACAGCGCACTATATACCCCCCCCCCTTACATCATGGAGCTTCGCGCTACCATGAAATACTATGGCGCCAGTTACACACCCGTACGTTTCCTACCCCGTCTTTTCGCCATCTTATACACCCTGCAATATACCCCTCCCCTTTGTACATTTTCTGTCAACAAAGAGCTAACCTAGACCATATCATGTGGGGGTGTACTCGAAACCCACCCTTCAATTCTCTACACATTAATAGTAAGGAGTAGTGGGAGGCTGCTATGTGCAGCTCGGCGCCCGAGGTTCAGGACCAGATCTTGGATTGGGCCAAGAGGGTAGGGGAGACCTACGCTAGGTAGGCTTCTCTGACACTTCACCAACGCACCTTTCCCTCTTGGGATGAATAAAGTTTTTCTCCTCCTCCTCATGATTTTTCTTGGGGAGGTCGGGGCATTTTTTTCCTTTTGAACGTAGCAAATTGATTTTTACATGAGAAGAAAATCTTGCTCGGGCCTATGTCCCGCGGCGTCGTCGGTGCCCACACTCCCTCTACACATGCGTAGAACTCTCCTCCTCTCTCTCCAACAAACGCAAATATACTCTCTCCACTTCTCTCTTATACAACATTCTTGCACTTGCTCCCCTCTCTCTCCTGCTGGCATCCTTCCCAATTGCTCCAGCGGCATTAGCACACCCATTGCGCGTCCCCTCCCCCCTATCCTCTCCTACATTCCCCCCTCTATCGCCTCGCAACGCCGACGCAGGGTGCGTTCGCCAACCAACGCTCGCTCCCCCTCTACTGTGAGCATTCCTCCTCGAGATGTCTACACCCCATTGCATACATGTGTCCTCTCCCACTCTCTCTCCTCTCTTACTCTCCCCTTCTCTCGCCTCGCAACGCCGACGCAGGCAGCGTCTACTAGCGCGTTTCTTGATTGAAAGAACTGACTGCTCGCACTGCACAACAGCTCACTGGCCACCACTAGATCTTGACCTCCAAGGTAGTGCTAGTGGGAGATTTTTCCAGTGCCCTTTTGCACAATAAAAAATCGCAGTGTGAGCGTTAACTAAAAGCGGACTGCGGGTCTCTGTGTCCAAGCGGTGTCTTCCGTTTCTGACTGCCGATTAGCAGCGATAGGCATGTTCCAGTAGGAAACACTGGTTCGTGACTGTGCTTTGCGCCTCCCCAGGCTTCTCTCCTGCGCAAGGCCACGATGAGCGTCAGCGTCAACGTCGCTGCTCGTGTAAGCGTTAGCGCCAGCTGCTTCGCACCTACTCGTGGTTTTCTTTAGCGAGAGATTGTGTAATTTTTTCTGACAGGTCTCTATCTGCAGCGATTGGCATATTCCAGTAGGAAACACCGATTTGTGACTGTGTGCTTTGCGCCTCCCAAGTTTCTCGCCTGAGCAAGGCCGCGATGAGCGTCAACGTCACTGCCAGTGTAAGCATTAGCGCCAGTTGCTTGACCCCTACACATGTTTTCCTTTTGCAGGAGATGGTGCAACTTTTTCTGACAGTTCGCTATCTGCACCGCTAAAAATACGTACGAAAGCTGGCGGCGATATTGATCTTATCGGCTCACTTGTACAGCTACCCCGTACGTCAGGTAGGCTGGCATCTAGTGCTGCAGCCGCATAAAAGGCACGGTGCCATAGATCTGTCGACATTCGGTTCTCGCTGCGGGAACATCGTGGCATGAGTAACGGCATTTCCACTGCTGTCGTAAAACTTGCGGCACTTTTAGCAGGTGAGCGCATTCCGTATAATAGATATTGAGAATGACCAAAGAGCCCGAGTAAGAGCCACTTGTTTGTTCTTATAGTGTTAACTTTATGCTGCGCTGCAAGAAACAAATTTGACGCGGAAACAACGACAAGAGACAACACTCGCTCTTGTGTTTTCCCCTTTTCGTTATACGTTGATTTCGTTTCCTTATACTCACGGACAACTTTTCTTGGGAAAGAAGGGAAAGCTTCGAGAGTGGAGCTTCTGTAGGTGTATATTCGGTGACAACTTAACTTGGCACTGGAAGGAAAGGTACGAGGGCGGAGCTTCTGCACATGTAGCACTACACGATGTTGTCTGATGGGGCGTGCGTCTCGTAACGCTACGGAAAGTGGCGAGGGAGCACCAACAGCGTTTCGTGTAGACGCAGACGCCGCTCAGCATTTGACGTATATGCACGCAAAAAGAACTTTCTCGTGCGTTTAGAAACGTGAAGTCACAACGAATAAATTAAAAGAAATTCGAATATCTTACTGGTGTGAGCTGCGTTCTCTGTCAAAATAGCTACACGAAGAAAATAAGGGAAGAATTTCTATTATATTTCAAGTTGAAGATACCAGCGTTAATATTGAACTACTTTCACTGGCGGACTACTTTCACTCTGTGTCCTTCACTCCAATGCCAAGAAAAGTTGTCGCCGAGTATAGCACTACGCGAAGTAGTCCGGTTTGGCACGCGTCTCGTACCGCTAATAAAAATGGTGGCTTGGCGTAGCCAACGTTGCACTTAGAAGTAGACGCCACTAGGCGTTTGAGGTACGGAAAAAAGACGCGACTTTCTCACGTGCTTCGAAATGCAAATCAACGACGTGAAAACTAAAAATAATGGAATTATCTCTAAGTGTGTGCTGCCTGGCATCTAAATAAATTACGTCATCATGTAGGAAACGAAGCCATATTCAAGATACCCAACGCCGAAAAAAGGGACTCGGGTATAGGACTGCATTCATTAGTGGTAGAATGCACGTGATTCAACTCTGAGACTTGCCAAGAGAAGTTGTGCACGAAAAAAGCACACAAAAGCTACAGTCGAGAACGTCGTTCTAAAGTAACGCTCTAGAGAAAAACAGAGAAGTCCACGAAGAAAATGCTTTTGTGCACGCCTAAGTGATGCCTAAGCGTAAAGTTCTATTGCAGATAGCAGTATTCACTGGTGCGTTCTTTCTGAGCGGCATCAGTGTGGCGTCCGTTATCTTCTGCCGGGAGCGTTCGTCTGCTCCCGCTACGGCCCCACAATAAGTGCATGCGACGGCCACCGAAACACGAGTTCAGCATCCTATTCTGGCAAAGTCAAGATTTTCTAGATGGTTACAATGCACCATGTCAACTTTGCATCTTGTCCTATGCAGTTCAAGGAAGCCCCATAAAGTGTTCTCTTTTGCATTTTTTTTTTGCACCGAGTGTATAAGGCATGGTCTCACAAGCTTTCTGGCCTTAAGGAACCTCAACAGTTTTTGCAGAGATCCACGAGACCCAAGTTTTTTCTTTACATGAATACAATAGAATGTGGGGGGAATGACGAGGGGGGGGGGGGGACAATGTTTTTTGACGCGCGCAACCACAGTATAACTCTACCTGCGTTGGCCTGTTCTCTTTTTTATAATATCAAAGGTGATCACCGTCGACGTAGTACTTCCGATAATATATAGACTTGCCTGTTTTTAAACTAAAAGTGATCAAGCGCGAAAAAACTACACGCTTTTCTTTGGGAGAGTGTCTCACTCTGTAATAAGTACAAAGTGAGGCCGGAAGTCTGAAGAGAAGCAGCTTTGTTTCCCAAGCACAATAAAGTACGCTGCTGCTCACTGTCAGGCCTCATGGCACATCTTATAAGGCGAGTGGGATGCGCTTCTGAGCAGCACATATATTCAGGACCAAATCCTGAACGTCCAGTGCGCCCGCGACAGGGCCGTTAGGCTACACCTGCCGATCCCCACGTGGGAGTAGCCGGGTGGCACGTGGCAACCTCAGTGCCTGCACTGAACCAATATAAGGTCGTTATCGCTCACTCACTCACTCACTCACTCACTCACTCACTCACTCACCAGACACCTGAAAAAGCTGGAAATGTTGGCTAAGCGTTCATACGGGAAGACTATGCGTTTCGACGTCCCGACGCAGTCGCTGCCTAGAAAACCGAACCAAGGCTGCCTATAGCAATGTGCTTCCTTATTTAAGTACAATTGAAGCTGGAATTTTCTACCGCACTTTGCGAGGGAAAGGTTCCTCTGTTCACTCAATTGGTTGTACAAAATTCTCAAAAAATTTAATTAAATGTATGGTCTTTTGTTCGATGAGCAAAAGCTGTTCCTCAGCAGTGCTTGTAACAATATTTTTAAGCATCAGCGACTCACAGGTGGCGATACAAAACTATGCTAACGGCCGGGTGTCCCGGGAGGCGCTGCGAATATTGACGATCAACGTGGAAAGAATATGAAACAAAAATGACACATTTGTGATATAGACACCTGCCCACACGCACTGCCCTCTGGCCGGAAGCGAAGCTGCCTACGCGGCGGCTCGAGAGCTCACGAACCGAGCAACTGCGCATGCCGATGCCGCCTCTACCGAGGCCACACGCGGAAAAGTGTGGGAGAGGGAGAAACGTATGACTAGCTACAATGAGATTACGCATCACTACAAGCTCGGTAGGCGCAAATACCCACCGCCACATAGCAAATTAACTAAGAAGCAGTCAGTTTCATGGAGACAACTCCAAACAGACACTTTTCCAAATCCAGGGATATTTTGCCTCTGTTACCCTGACCCGTATTCGACAGATAAATGCAAATCATGCGATTCCCGGGCAACCCTGGGGAATATGTTATGGGAGTGCTCGAGTCTCAATGAAGCAGTCAGCAGTACAAACGAGGAGGCAGTCTCGAACCACAGGGCGCGCTGGGAGGCGGCTCTGCTCATCTCCGCATTAGAACAACTATGGGCCGTCCAGCCAGCCGAGGAAGCCGCCCGAGCCCAAGGGCTCGCGGCCATTGCCTAGGTCGGGGTTCAAGCCCGCCCCGATTTATCATCGCCGGACTCTTAATAAATGTTGTTTTTCTCTCTCTCTCCAAGGAACACAATTACGAGTCCCATACCCGTTGTTGGTATACTTGTCAGAAATGCCAGTGCTCAAGAGCTTTCATTGCTTTGATATGTCAGACTTTGGTGGCCGTGAAACAAATGTTTTGTACAAATAGAATTTTTTATCTGTATCAAGTAAACGGAGGTCACGTTCGAGTTACTACTATCCATGCGAGATTCACATGGGACAGTCAAGCAAGAACTGATATGCAACCTTGTCATCTCTGCAATGAGAACACGTATACATAACGCACACCTAATTCGAAATGAAAAGGACTTTGTGGAAAAAGTTTTTAGATGCAGACAATGTATTAGGTTGCTGATATGTTGATAAAGCGGATAAAAGAAAGAGAGAGAGAAGCACAGGAAAGACAGGAACGCAAATCAGAGCTAAGCGATTAGGTACTATAATAGATCACCATCTGCACTTAAGATTGATGCTTTTATACTTCAGACCAATTTGACAAAGACACTGCATGCTTCAGTCTGCATCTACTTGTAGCGTGAAAATGAGACTTGCTTTCAAATATTCCTGAGCAGCTTTTGTGAACACATCCACAATTAATTTCATTTGAGTCAACGTAGTCTTTGAGCCCTCTACAGCGTTGGCGGGTAAGGTCGCAAAATCACCTGTAGCATCAAAATGACAAGTATTTTTTCAGGCGTGTCTAAGAAACGCTTGTGAGAAATGCGAACTTTGTACTATAGTAAGGAAAACAAAAGAAATGCTTGTAAAATTACCCTTTCAGTGCTGACTTGTTTTTGAGCATTGTCATCGGTTCGGAGACGCCGGCAGGCTACGATTCGGAATAACACGACGCCACTTATAAGAAAGGATGTAGTGCAACGAGTAATATAATTGAAGGATTAAAGCTTGATATCTATATGTCCACTATTGTATAGGTGTTTCTCACATGATTCAGTGCCACACATTCTCAGCGAGCACTAATGACACATACTGGCGCCTATCTGGTTCACCCAAGCCATGATGTTTAGTGACTTATTGCATTGAAGTCGCCATGCGACCGCTCGCAAATATACGACAATAGTCGGTCTTGGTCACTACGACAGTATTTTGAATTCAGTTGCTTGCTGCTCGATTTCGCATACAGTTGCACGATTGCTAGTTTTAACAGAGAGCCAGAACAGTCCTTTCTGCGATCAAGTAATCATTTGGAACCACGCCCCTCCGATCGCTTTACAACTCCAGTGTGATGAACATTTTCGAACACCTTGCAAGTGTTCTAACCCAAGCACCAGTTACTTCGCATTGTTCCGAATCCAAAGATGGTGAATGTTATGACACAATGTGGTGGTCGAGCTCAGCTGAAGTGAACTGCCAAAACTACAACGTTTTGAAGTGTACACAAGGTGTTTCCCTTAATTTGCACAATGCAAATAACACATGGAAATGTATAGTTACAGTACACGATCAGCAGTGACCGAACTGCGGATGTCACTGCGGTCAGCCATTCCACCTCAATGGCCTTTCTTGCTAGACTAGTGCTAGCTTATTTTAAGTCATACTCAGAGATGACGTAAGGAGGTGCTTGATGAATAAAAAAAAGTCGTGTAGCATTCTTAGCTGATTTTTAATAAAATAGAATAACTTTGATACTGAATAAGTATAACAAATTTCTAATGAGAATTCATAATTCTCTATTGTGCATAAAATTAAGTTACAAACGGCGAATGAGGATTCCAATATATGAATGTAAACTGTTGCAGCGTAAATCTGTGACACTGCTTTTTTCAGTGAAAGCCGTTTTGAGGTCACAACTCGAGTCACACGCAGTTGTCCGCCACCGTTGCCACCAATGTCCGTAACCCCATCGCACATTAGAAAAAAAAAACGAGTACAACTGACACAGTGAGTCTGGAACCCGTGTGCGACTTTACAAAGGCGAGCGGACAGACCCACCCACAATGCACTGCGCCAGGCGCTCTTACAAGGCTCTCGGAAGCTGCGCGCTCATTGGTTCGTGCGCGATGTCGTCAGCAAACATGGCTGCGCCCATGACGATGCTGCAGGCAGCTGCCAGGCAAGACTTCGCGCGCGCTGCGTTTGCTGAGGCAATCTTGATCGAGAAAAACGCCTTTTGAACATTCGGAGGGACGCGTGGAAACTTCAAGTGTGCCGAGAAACGCTGTGAGCGTGCCTCTACCGGAGCTGCACTTCACTGCCGCCGGCAGTGATGGTCCGCTTTCAACGACCGCAGGAGACACTAAGAAGTGGGCCGTCGTATCCAGTAAAGATTAAGAAGACGTCGAGATGCTGGTCTCGGTAAGTTCTTTATTGTAGTTCCGGAGAGAGCCATAAAATGCTTGCTTACGAGACCGTCGGTGCGCTCAAGTTCGCAAACGATGCTCGGGCAGGCACAGCTTCAGTTACTACGCTGCCCAGCGCGAGAACGACTATTGCTGCTGTTGCACAGTGCATTTAGTGCGCATAGACTTCAGTGGAATAAACTAAACGACAACAAAAAGAAAATTAAACTGCAACCCACAGCTTTGAGTGTTTGTCGAAAGCTATAAAATAATAGAAAAAAGGACGCACGCTTTACATGAGGCTTCACCGCAGAGCTGCAATGTATTTTGGGGAAGGCGTGTGGGAATCTTTACGATCGCGTGCCCAGAGTAAGCATCATGTTGCAAATCACTGCAGTTAGTGTGGGAAAGAGTGCAGTGTGTACATCAAAACTGCAATCCGGAATCGTTAGCGGTTTGAGCTTGCATTCTTTACACGTAAATTAATTGACAAATGTCCAGTGAATGAAGAGAATAACCAGCTGCAGCTAAGTTGCGCGTAGTGTTAAAAAATGCACCCTCCTTGGCATTCCCTTTTACAGAGAATGCATGTTCGCGCAAGGCAAATGATTTATGATTGTGTGCCGAGTGCACGTGACAGGGAGTGCTACACTAGCTGTAGGGCTGTGAATGATCAGTTTATGAACAGTTTATAATCTGTTTGCAGCACCTTGCTGAGAAATTCCTTGGACCCTTTGCAACACGGCTAGTTTTGGCTCCATGAAAAAAAGAAGAAAACATCATTATTTATTTATTTATTTATTTATTTATTTATTTATTTATTTATTTATTTATTTATTTAGAAAATACTGCAGGCTAAGAACAGCCCAGGCAGGAATGGGGGTGGTACAGTATGAGGATATGACCAAAAAAAGCAACAATACAGGAGGCACAAACTAACAGGAAAATATACAACACATTATGGTACAAGATCTTAGTTAATTCAAAAAAATTTTTAATACACCTTAACACGTTTCCAGACTCAAAAATGTGATATGGTAGTTCATTCTATTCTGTTAATGTGCGAGGAAAGAAAGAGTATTTGAATTGTTAGTTCAAGCAAAGATAGGAGTGAATTTTTCTGAATGATATCGTCTAGTTGGACGCGAAGATAACGGAGAAAGAATATTTGATAGCTCAAGTACACTTTTTTTGCTGGAGAGATAGAAAAGAAGTTTTAGTCTTGCAATTTTCCTGCGACATTCTAGAGTTTGAATTTTGTTATCATGCATTAGTTCAGTTGGCGAATCAGATCGGCGAAATCGGTTGAAAATAAAGCGGAAGGCTAACCTTTGGATTTTCTCTAGATTGTTAATATCTGTTTTAGTATGCGGATCCCACACCTCACATGCATATTCCAAACCAGACCTGATTATTGTATTATAAGCTAGAAGTTTAGTACTGTGGGGAGAACTACTGAGTCTATGCCTTAGCATGCCTAATTTCCTACGTGCAGATGAACAAATCTTTTCAATGTGAGAAGACCAAGTTAGTTTGTTAGTGATTGTTACGCCAAGATATTTGTAACATTTTGTTAGTAAAATTGGGGTCTCTTTAATACTGTACGGGTAAATAAACGGCTGTTTCCTGTTAGTGATGCGCATGAACATAGTTTTATCAGGGTTTACATTCATTCCCCAGTGGTCACACCACGCAGATAAGGCTTCGACAGATTGGTGCAGCGTTATCTGATCATTTAAAGAGTTGATTGAACGGAATAAAATACAATCATCGGCAAATAAGCGGATTTCTACACCTTGTTTAGCACATGTTGTAATATCAATAATATAAATAAGAAAAAGCAAAGGCCCAAGGACACTTCCCTGGGAAACACAGGAGTTAACAGGGAGAGGGTTAGAATAAGCACCGTTTACGTCAACAAACTTGTACGTGAGCCTAAATATGATTCAACCCATTTAACAATTAAAGAGGAAAAACCTACCAGATTAAGCTTGTGAATTAGTTTACACCTCTGGATTACACCTCAGGTTGACAGGTAATGTTTGATTTGTTCAGATTACGCTAACATTATTACTGTAATTATACTCGAAGGTGTAACTAACAAAATGGCTCAATGCTATGCTATTGACACATATTCGTTATGCATTTTTAAAAAACACATACTCAAATTTTGGTGATCTAGCAAAAGTTTGTTCACATTTTTCTTTCAATGCACACTAACCTTGGCCTATCTATCGCACAAGTTGCTAACAGGTGGTATGTAAAAAAGACTGCACTTAATACAGAGACACATTCTCTCCTTGTCATCAATTCTAACTTCTTTATTTAATACCTCAGTCCTCCTAGTTGCCTATGCAAGAAATCATTTCTCTTTTGCAACTGCTTAAGCTTGCTTCACTTCCGCAGCACTTGTTTTCTAACCTCCCCGGATGATAAAGGGGTCCTAACTGCAAATTTTTTTTTATTTTCTTGCGGGAAACGAAAGGCCCAACCTTCAAGCATCTAGAAAATGTACTGCAAAGTGCGAGTGCACTCCCCAAAAGTATTAACAGTATCATTTTAAAAGCTAGTTTCCATATCTACAGTGCCCTGACATCGTTACACAATATAAGCTCCTCGTCAAGCTTCTCGTCAATATAAGCTCCTCGTTGTGCGAGAAATCGTGAAACTTGCTCGGCTGCTACGCACTGTGGCTCCATTGCCAACCCACAAGCAGTCATTTTGATAGATTTTGCGACGCTGAGTGGCCGTTTTGGTACCTGATGTCATCACAACTAGCCAGATTGCAGCATAAAGTCCCTAAAATTGCCTGATGTGCCACGGGAAACTTGGCTTTAATATAAGAAATAATATATCATATCACGGTTTTATTTGCTTATCACTTGCTCAGAGTGATCTTTGTATCCATAAAATTCGCATGGTAGGGTAAACTCACCTTTGAAAAAAGGGGTCGTACTCCTTTAGAATGTTGGCTGTGGAGGCCAATTCGAAGGAGCTATTGAGGCCGACGTATTGGGCAATCTTTAAATGTCCCTGCTGGCTTGCCATTTTGACGAAAGAGAATGGCCTTCTGTGACTCGCTGCTGAGTTTCGCAATTCTTTCATCGCTAGCACCTAGTCCCGAACCTCAATTCTCGGTACAGCTATATTCTGTTTTTTGTCGAAGTTCTTTTTCACTCTCTTTCTGTACTTAACTTCACCCACTTTAGTTCTCTCTTCTGTCAGGCTGATTATCATTTCAACTCACAGCCACATTGGCTGGTAAATATGTTGCTTTGCAGGAGCAGTCAAAAGTCCGTTCATGAATGTTCACTTTTGTTCTTGTTTTTTCCCCACTCCTGCAATAGCTTCATTGAGGTTGCAGTATGTAGAAATGCATAAGTGTACACCCAAGAGATGCTTTTTAGGGCTGTGCACGATGAGCTACGTCATTTAAAAACCGCTCTTCCATCCTTCTGGGAAGTCTGGACACATGTTGAAGTATTACGATATGTCTTAATTAGCTGGCTTCACTAGCCCATTAACTGCTGAATGACCTGGAGCAGTGAACCTGAGCGCAATTCGCTGTTGGTTTGCCCGTTTATTGGGTTGATGAGTCTGTGAATCTGGTTCACTGTCTCACCAATACTGACTTTTTGTTAGACATCTTTTAGTTTAGAAAGGAAATCAGACTGTTGGTATGGCCTTTTCTGCATTTGCTGCCACCAACCATTTACAAGCCATAACCTTTAGATTTTTTTTTTACCAAATTCTCCTAAGTCCATGTGAGTGACCTCCAACGGTGCAGAAAAGTTTTGTGATACCGTATGTTGAGTCAGCTGCCTAGACTTGACTTTATTAATCTGGCACTCATGATATGATTATTTTGTTGTTTCTTCTTTTATGCCAGATCATATGAACTGCTTGGTTAGCTTTATGTATGTCCACTGGATGCCGTCATGACCACCCAAATGACAGCAGTTATGATAGAGATTGATTTTTTTAATTAGTATGGATGGCACTGTGATCAATCCTGCTTGTGTCAGTTTTAGAGCTTCAGTTTCTTCTCAAAGCTTGACAGCATTTACAGTTTTACAAATCAGCTAGTGGGATCCCCAATACAGATACTGCACCACCGTCTTTCGTGGAAACTTCTGGGTGCCTTTAGGATGGATGGTGCTTCTTTCTTTGTTGTCGTGCAATTCACTCTCGCTTTGTTAAACGTGTAGCTGCGGCAACCAACCACACAAAGTTAGAAACTACTTCGCAGTCTTTCATCTCACTATTAGAGTATCGCTCCTATTCACTATTGTGATTCATGTGTATTCAGCTTGAATGGTAAAGCAGTCTAGTAGACTAAATACGGGATTATGTCACATAATTGTTTTAACAATGCAAACTTCTCTCTGCTTCCATTCCTTGCGTTCAGTCTTTGATTTAGCCACTTGTGCAGCTGTCGGTTTTTTACTCGATGCTATGCCATCTCTGTGACTTGCTCTGTGATCTTGACACGCCTAAAAGTGCTGACTTCTTCACATGCAACTGTCCTAAAAAGAACTATAAATGTCACTAAACAGCAGGTTGCAGAACTCAAAATTTAAAACCATTTTGTTTTATCCTCTCTACTTCTAGGCTGGCCCCTGAAGCAATGTGGATCAGTGACCGGAGCTGGGATGCTGCCGCGTACTGCTGCTCGGCTCAGTGTGGACAAGTACTGCAATAAGGACAGCATCCGCCTTTGTGGACTTTTTCTGAAGGCGTTTAGTACACATAATTTCTCATTCTGCTTGACAAGAAACTGTTGCGCAACATAACCTTTGCTAACATTTGAAAATGTAAAATGAATACATGAATTGCCATAGAGCAAACCTGCTCCCATGGAGACTTCATATTTACTTTGAATAAAAAAATCGCAAATACAGTTTGTAGTGCTGGATGTTTTCGCCTTCACTTAACCTAAAATAAGCAAAGTCTGGTCTGTTAGGTCATCTGCAAGCACAGTTACACCACAGTACTGTCTGTCATCAGAGGTGAAATCAAAGTTGAACCCACCTCAACTTTTCGAGGGTTGGGTGTACTTTCCATTGCACAACGACTTCAATTTATAGCATGTTCATAATCCTTGAAATAAAATGCTTTTTGCTGGTGATATTTTAATCTATTAAAATTCCATAGGGTAAGCCATTCGGTCTGTCCTGTCAATTTGTCTGCTGTGTAATGGCTATGTAGGTCAGTCGGTCAAAAATGTTTATGTGTTGCAAAATGCGTAAACGAAAATGGGTTAGTATATACAGAAGGAGGTCCCATAGCACAAGGCTTAAAGGCTCAAGGCTCCTGTGAAAAATATACATGTTGATAACTATAGAAAAATGGCAAATAACAAGTGGCAAGTAATTATGATAGAAATAAAGACAAGGCAAACTTGTAATGTAAATTCCAGCTGAAATGGTAATAAAAGAATCTTCAGTAATTATACATGGCTATGAAAAAGATGGCAGTAGAATATTGAACAAAAGGGACTTCAATTAGTGATACACCAGACATCTCAAATCTACTTAAAAGTATTGAATGACAATTGTTTAGTGCATTGTGATATTGAATTCCAAAAATGTACGGCAGCAAATATGGTAGTGTTTTGCCGTAGTTAGTGCGTGTATGTGGTAGTAAAAAATTGTTGTTAGAGGCGAAACTGGCGGGATTGGCGTTTACCAATTGAAATTTTTGTAAGACATTGGCTGTTATGGAAGCGTTAAAACACTTAAATAGAAGAATCCTCAGTGTATGTTTGAATAAATTACAGACTGTTAGTACACTATGTTGCTGAAGAAGCGGGGGCACGCTGGTGAATAGAGTACTGAATGTTAGCATGCGAATGGTTTGGTTTTGGAGACGTTGAAGTGGGAGGATATGAGATGGATAGGTGTTGGTCCATGACGTGATGCAGTAGGTAATATGACTGTGGATAATGGCGTAGTATAGCTTAAGCAAAAATGAAGCATGGTGATTCTTTAAATAATGATCTGATACCATGAGCTATCATCTGTCTTATAAGTGAAATGTGATGATAGTACTTTAGATGAGCATCTAGGAGTACTTCCAAGAATGTGAACTTAGTGGAACAAAGATGTCTGTGGCTCTTGATAATAATAGCCGTGGCAGGTGAAAGAGTATTATGACACAAATGGAAGATAATGAAGTGTGTTTTATTTGTGTGAATTCTTAAACCATTAGCTGTGCACCATTTCTTTAATAATAATGATGTCCAAGGACTTCTGCTGTGTAATTATAGGAGCTCTTTACATCCCATTCTTATCTGAGGAAATGGGGGACCACAAGCAGGCCATTGTGACCAGCACGTCATTGCTGTCATGTATTCAAGAGCCGAGCCCTACACCAAGAACGTTAATGTTTATTTCTACCGCTCGTGCCTTCCCATTCTTCTTTCTTTTTGGTTCTCCTGCTTGTTGTCGCACGGTCGCAATCATCCGCAACAATTGCCTCATTTGGAAATTTGTTTAGAAACCTTCACTCGTACACCATGCTAGACAGCTTGAGATGCAAGCTGCTTTAAGGATCAATGGGCTTTGTGACATAGTTTCCAACAATAGTGGCACTTGTGTACTGCTCTGCTTCACCAAATGAATTCACAATAAAACAAAAAAAGGTAGCTGTTAGTAGTAGACTTTATAATTTTGCAGTTGTACATCTGCACATTTCTAAGAAATGAAATTTCATCTTTCTGGATTTATAAATGTAAACACCTCTTGGAGAGACATAAAAACTAATATTGTCACGTGGCCATGATGTTGAAGACTGCAGTAGTCGGTGGGGTTGAGACCAAACTTATCATTTTAGCGAAACTTTGCAAGCAGTATGGAAAGCCAAACTACAAGTGATACATAGTCTGCCCTAATAGCGGTAAACAGTGCGTCGGCCATGAATATTCTGACAAGCAGTACAGTGCATCTGCTTTTATACAAGTGCTATTGAAAATTCTGGGGTTATTGCTGGTGGCAGCGTAAGCACTAGACTAATCACATCCTGTCCACAAACTTAACAGTGTGATCTCAAGTTATAACGGAGCTCCTGAAAAACTGCTGCGCCGAGTGTTGCTTAGAGTCTTTGTGGGTGAAACCCGACTTTATCAAAATAAAACAAACGTGGCAATACGCATGCACTTAGTTGTCAGGCTTGTCAATTATTTGCTGAGTTTATCCCAAGTAAAAAGATATTTTTATCCCGAAAGGCCAAAAAAACATCTGAATATGTCATGTTGTGCTGCATGTGTTATTGCTGTGAGAAATATATAAAGCAATTCACATACCTGTAATAACAATATACGTGAACTTCACATTCCCCAAGTAGTTCGCAGTGGCAAGTAATTTTTCAATTTTCAACACATCTTATGACAGCCTCAATTAATCTTCCCATATCGAGAATTCTCTGGCAAAAACAAATAACATATGGCATTTTCTTTTTTTATATCAGGACAACATTGAAATGTTGATGTGAGGTTTTACATTTGTTTTTATTATTGTCTTGCAACAAAGCACTCAGAGTATGTAAGCATTTGACTCAACTTTAGCCAGAAAATGAATGTTTCCAAAGCTTCTCAAAAAATACATTTTATTGATATTAACAATCATAATTTACCCAGGCTGCCACTCGTGATTTCGGCAAGAATTTCGCCAATGTATTGGCACTCACTGCATTTTCTGTCTGGCATGTGCTGAATATTAAAATGTACTTTTTTGTAGTTAACTTTATTCCTTTATCAGCAGAGTTATTTGTGCTCTGACCTTGTGTTTTTATCATTATTGCACAAATAATGCAATAATAAACAAGTAAGTTCTTATGAACAGATTTATGCTTAGTTAACTGATGTAAGCTAAGAGTAAAACACATGTGCAATAAACTGATCCTTCTTGCTAATGGACGGCAAGATTAAGAGCAACTTTCACCAGATCCACTTATGTTTTTACTTGCATTGCATGTCACGAATTGGCATCACTTGTAGCCAGGTGCGTTTTCTTTTTTCCATTTACATACCTTGAGGCATGTGCAAGGGTGTGTTCAATAAGAGATGGGATACAGCACAAAAAACAAAAAGCACTCGTGGTGTTTACAGATGCCCAATCACATTCACACAAAAAGATGGTGGGTCATTGGTAGCAACAACGCTACTAGAGGTGTGCAAATATTTAAATAATGGACCAAATAGCATTCGCTAATCAAATTTAATTGTACATACACGAAATACCCAATATTGAAAAAATAATTTGCCCCGATGGGACAACCCTGAAGCAGCAAAACATGGGATCAGCTGAAGGTTATTTTCTTTTTGTAATCCCTGAACTACCACGATAAATGCAGCCCAAGTATTGGCAGCACTATTGATTCTATAACCATTACCGGATAAAGCATTTTTGCTGCAAACTGCACTTTCACTCTGTTTTTTACTGTGGTGGAACTGCATCACATTAATCCTTTCCTATTTTCATCATTGGAGTTAGGGACTATGACTGCAATTAGCTTCACGAATGAAAACACATGCCAGTAAGTCTCTTGTTCACGTAAATTGTTCGTACAGATACAGCTTTCAAAACTTGATTTTCACATGCTCTCTGTGCCAGGGTATATGTTGTGATAATTTTGCCGGTTCCAATAAATCTTTAGCTGAATGCATGGTGTTCGGTTCAAAATTGTTTAGATTTTACGCTGAAATTTTACTTAAAAGCTTGCAACAGAGTTGTAACTTGAATAATGGAGTTGCTGAGGCATTTTTACGTACAGTTGAAAAGTACTTTGAAGGCTCTGGTCACTGATCTATACAAGCTTATCACAGTTTTTATAATTGTAGTATTATTTGGTGACAGCTTGTGAATATTTATTTCAAATAAACTGTTTTGGAGTTCTAGGATTATTTTTAAAAAGGTTTCCTTCCTATTTGAAAACTATCAGAAGAGTATTAAGTTAACTTAAGCGTTATTTTTGGTTATACCATTATTGGATTCATATTGAATTCGCTTTTGAAGTTTACTACTCGCAAAGCCCTTGCTCGCGTGCGTCTGTAGTAGGACAGTGTTCATGCTGTCAACGCTTCACCTCTCTATATGGATGCATCATGGTGAAGTGAGCAAAAAAAAAAAAAACAAAAAAATCGCTGGCTTGAGGCGGGTTCTTTACATGCACAACATACAGTAGATTTCGAAGTGCATTTGGCCTAGAGGGAATACACTGTCACCCACGTCCTTCTCTTCTAATAATAGCGCGGCCTCTCGCTCCTCATGTGAACGGAATTGCTTGGCATGTTGATAGAGTGACACTACGAAGACATTCGTTCGCAGGTCTATCGAGAAGCTGCTACATATATTCGTGCTTCTCATTTGGCATCGCTATCATAATCAGTAGCGGTGGCATTCACTACGAGTAGCCTAAGATATGCCAGAGTAAGAGCAAGCAAGCTGAGCGATCGAGTGACGTGCGCAACGTAGGCACTCAAGTGCTCCGAAACCGGCTCTTTGAGCTGCAACAAATGCTTATCGAGGTACGATTATTGTTATATAGTCCGCACATGAACTCTTCAAACCGTCATCATCCATTTTTCACTGCATATCTGCGCCGACTTCGATGCTTTCGGCGATCGTTGCAAACGGAGCGACGAGTCTTGCGTCAGCGTCGACACAGGCGTGCGCACGTTTCTGTAGCACCTTGGTAGCACCAGCTACTCAAAAGCGCCGTCTTCCCATTCATCGTAGGTGGTTTGCCAGTACGCGTGCGAGCGTCAACTTTGTTCTCGCTTTCGTCGCGGCGTCTTCATCAGCTGTGCCCCCGCCCGACACGCGAACCCCTGCAGCATCGTCCTGGGCGCAGCCGTGTTTGCTGACGACATCACGCACGAACCAATGAGCGCACAGCTTCCGAGAGCCTTGTAAGAGCACCTGGCGCAGTGCATTGTGGGGGGGTCTATCCGCTCGCTTTTGTAAACTCGCAACCCGGGTCCACGGGGCTCCAGCCCAGTATTCTACCAATGAGCCATAGCGGAGCTTGGGACTTGTTATAGCAAACTCACCTTGGGCAGGCTTGATGTCGGGAAAGCAATCGCGTTAATAGCGTTTTAAAACAGCGAACGAACAACCAGTCGCCGCACAATGCGAATGGCGTAATGACAGGGTCGTCCAATGCTACAACCCATTACAAAAGCTTGTTCTTGTTCAGCTATCAACCGTGGTGCATACACACTTCAAGCATAATTCTTCATCGTCGTCAGCCACTGCAAGAACAATTGACACAAGATTCCTTGCAAGTGTTCAGAGGGTACCACGCTTCTCCGAAAAATGACCAAAAGTAGAATAGGAAATGCCGGCATACTACCCTAAAATTTTTATTATTAATGCCGTAGTAGATATCAAGCAAGAGTGCTTGCTGCAGTTACCCAATGAGTTTTTAAAAACATTGGCCCCGAATCAGCATGTTACACTGCAAATGTCGTCGAAAGCCGATAGTCTTGCGTCTGAAGAGAGTGAACATAACGTTTCTTTAATGTTCTGCGCAAAAAAAAATTGTGAATGGTATTCTGGAGGCGCCGCGTTAGAGTGCCTCGATTGTGTAGCGAAGACGAACGAGCGCATCGAGGCACGTTAGACACCAGCGCCATCTTGCAGTTATCTTCGAAAAGAAAGGCGTGCGCGCCCGCGGAGAAAAATGCGCGCCAGTCTCGGAGGTGATAAGGTGTAGAACGCAAAGCGACGGGCAAGTGCTACCACCATGTCGTGGTAGAAAAGCTTTGGAAACACCTTTTTGGGCATTACGTTCCACTGTCAGCGCAGCGATAAACGCTACAGTCTTTAGAGTTACTTGTGTGTGCCTCTTCTAGTATAAAGCCACGCATACGAAACATCAACGTGCTGTTATGGCGCATCAGATATGCACAATAATTGTTTTTTTAATTGACAATCACACAACTATGAACGCTGAAGCTTGAGCAATATTGGTGGGCGCTGCGGATGGGTTCAGCCGTCTGATGCCGTTTGAGGTATCGTTAAGAGTGGACAAACAGACAAACGTACAGACAGACAGACAGACAGACAGACAGACAGACAGACAGACAGACAGACAGACAGACAGACAGGCAGGCAGGCAGGCAGACAGGCAGGCAGGCAGGCAGGCAGGCAGGCAGGCAGACAGGCAGGCAGGCAGGCAGGCAGGCAGGCTGTGCTGTGCCTTCCGCGCAGGCCTGGCGTTTCGTTTTTTTTTTTTTTACTCCTCTAATCTATCATAACGCAATACATAAGGCTGCCGCAATGGGTAGAAAAATGAATAAATACTTGTCGACGTATAGTGTATCTTCCTTGCTCAACAGTTTTCACATGGTAGCTTCCATTTCACGCTTGTTTTATGTGCTCGTGTAACACAGGTGTGTTATTTTTCCTTTTGTTTTTTTAATACATAGGACTGGCAGCAGTATGTCAAGTTTTTTTTTTCTCGGCTAACCTTTGTACATTATCCAAATATCTCGTCATTCGCAGCTGTGTCAGGACGTGCGTGATTTTTTTTCTGGTGTATCACAGGAGTCCGCTGATCTTGAGCACTATGAGTTTGTAGGGGACAGGAACTTAATGACGTTGCTGTGCATGTTCTAAGGGTGAATAGCTCTGAGGATAGTGGTTTGCAATGCTGCATCACCAATTTTCTCAGCAGTGAAGCTCTGAAGATGCAAAATATCATTTTATTGTCTACTTCACCCCATACAGAAATGATGCAGAGCTTCAGGTATCGCTATAGTAATGCTTTTTTTTATGTTTTGAGGCCTCGCCAAAGTTTGCTAGTCAAATAACACTCGCCTTCAATTTTCAACCGCAAACTAAAGCCGCAGCCGCCCAATGCCAGCCGAGGGACTATGGACGTGGAAGCATTGTTTGCGTATGCAACGCCACGTACTGCGACTTCATCGGCGACATAGGATCCCCGCCTAATGGAACAGCAGTTGCATTCGAGAGCAGCAAAGCCGGCCAGCGTTTCACCAAGACGACACTATTATTCAGTAAAGAGACTGGTCAGTTGCATTTTATTACTTCGGCAGTATTTTCGTCATTGAACTTGTGTAGTTTTATCCTTCTACATATATCATTGTTTTTTCTCTGCAGACGTTAAACAGATGCTTTGCGTATGATCAAAACTTAGTTTAGAAAATATGCAACAGATTAGTTGATGCTTTCAAGCCATGTGCATTAAGTAACTTAGCTTCACCGAGTGTTTTGGGCTCTCTCATGTTGGAGCTTCTTTTACTGCATGTTGTGTTTATTAATCTGAATGTGCTCTCTCTTGTCGTTTTCGACCTATGCATTTTTGATAACAACTTCTTAGGTACATATACTCAAACTTCACATTATAAATGCGGTAAAAACAAATAATGAAGAGGCGTAACTGAGACGGCATGAACAATTCTTTACATTCATGGTGACAGGGCTAAGCAGAGAAATAAATCATGCCTTAAATATTGCTTTAAAGTTTTACTGATATCTGCATGTATTTAACACTTCCATGCCCGCATGAAATAAAGTAACATCTACAATTTAGCCTGTGGGATACAACAGTGCAATAATTGTACCAAATAGTGTGAATAAATGCATTACGTATAATCAAAATGCTTGCTTCAAGAAGGAAGAACGTATCTGGTTAAAACCACGTCTATTGCATTTTTTTCCAGTTTCACACTATCCCACTGTCATGCAATGGCGCTCGTCTCACACTTCGACTGACGCTTTCAATTTTCGATACGTGAGGCTATTGCTTTGAAGTTTCTATGTGCGGCCCAATAGTCCATAGGTACACCGTTCGCAAATGTAACATCTTATTAGGCGGACATCTCGGCCTCTATAGTTTCCTATAGCTTATATTTCTTTCCGCTTCAACAGGTTCCACACACAACGACGTGGTGCTGCTCGTGGTAGATCCATCGAGAAAGTACCAGAAGGTGTTCGGATTTGGTGGTGCCTTCACCGATGCCACAGGAATAAACATCAAGTCGCTCCCGGCAAACATGCAAGATGACATTATCAAGTCATATTACGCGAAGCAAGGTAAAGGCCTGTCGCGTAGCCAGAAATTTTTGTAAGTCAGTGGAGGGTGTTAATTATCCTTTATTATTGTGCGTGCGTGCGCTTATATGTGTGCGAGTACGTATAAACATATAAAAGCAAAAATTGTTGACGAGAAAGGGAGTGTCGAATCCTTCCCCCTTAACTTGGCTACACCAGTTAACGCCTATATCTGTATATGAATATATTTTATGGCAATACTTGCCGTCTAAATCCCACTTTTTAAAATTTCAAATATGAAACTGAGAATTGAAAACAGACTAAAAAAAAGAGTAATTGCAACGAGGTCATATATTTGTTATTATTGTGCCTTTAAACACACACAGTTTTTATGAGGATGTGGAGAGGAGAGGGCCGCGGATAGAGGAAGAAGAAAAAAGCCATGCGAACCATCAATCATGAGTGAGCATTGGCGTGTTCTGTATATCACCTGAAGCGTCTGTTTCTACTACTTGTTCCCACGGATTCGCACTCTTACAACATGGGACCTTCTAGTGCTGTACAAGCAACTACGTTAACTTTATGAAAATTGAAATTCATGTCTGCTTTCAGGGCTTGCGTACACCATCGGAAGGATTCCATTGGCCAGCTGCGATTTCTCCACGCGAAAATACACGTACGACGATTCTCCAGGTGACTTGGAGCTTAAGAACTTCAGGCTAGCCCCGGAAGACTTTAATCTCAAGGTAACTAGAAGTGCGAAACAGCACATGAGCACGCGATTAAAGGAAAAAAAAATTGGCGAAGGTTGCAGTAAACCTCGCAAGGCATCGAATTTCGCTGTTCGCAAGGCGTCGAACAGCGAAATTGCAAGATTCTGCAGAGTATACTGGTTGCTTTTAGATTGTTTCTAGGCCGTAGATATAGGTTATGCAGGTTCTCAGTTGCTCCTTGGTTGTCGCTGAGCTTTAGCTAGAAAGCTCTATGTTGTGTATACGTTGATTCTCAGCGCATGAGTGTTCGAGTTGAACCAAAGACAGTCACAGTTATCCAAACTCCATAGACAGGCAGTCGCGCCGAAACGAAGCGTTCGCACTTGTCATGTATACGAGCACGTTATCGTTGGCGTAGATCTTCCAACGCTTCGGGGTCTTCTCGCTGCCGCGGTTGCCTTTCCCGTTGGTACTATCTCGCAGTACGTACTCGTGGTCTTCGGATCGCCGCTTTCGCTTTGCAACCATTTGCTGGGCCTAACTGTTGCCTGTCCTATTTTTAGTCAATCGGTGGTGAAATAGCGGTATTTACCCAATTTATGTGACACATAACCATTTATTATGATAGTTTTCTGGTAGGCCGCACAAAGGCACGTGCCCGTTAAGTTGATTACAATTGTCCGCGATCGATTCTTATGGAAGAATTTGCTAAATATCTCCGCTGTTAAAACTGCGCAATCGTTAATGCTTGTCCATTTCCACTACGCTGGCATTGACTTTCATGCGAAATTTCGACTTTCAAAGATTGAATGGTCAGATCGAGGATGTTGCAGGTTAGTAGTGTGGTTGTTGGTCGAAGAAGCGGAATGCTGTTCTCCGTTAAGTACGGTCTTCTGCCCCTATCAAAATTTGTTCCTCCCAAGTGCACTCAAGAAAGTGCGCTGCATGATCTATATGTAAGACTGGGCATGTTCATCGTGTTCCGAGACATTAGCTGTGCTTCTGTGACTAAGGTACTACTGTGGGGCTCTTTTTGAGCTGCGTTTAATATTTATTATATGCAAGACTAGTTCTACAGTGCTAACAATGTAGTTTTCGTAGAGTAGCGCAACACTACAGGGAATAAGAGACATACACAACTCAACGAGCCTGGCAACGTGCCCCTAGAAAATCACATATGCACTTCCCTTTCCAAAAGTCGAAGCGGAACATAAACACTACAAAAAAAAAACACCCAAAGAAGTGTTATGTCTCGAGCGGAAACTACCAACAAAACTTGAGCATTTACTTCGAGAAATGCGCTATATGCACATGTTTCTCATTTTTTTAAGTACTGGGTTGGTTTCCTCACATCAATGGGACACAAAAAAGCTTATATTTTAGATGCAAAGCAGGCTATAGTAGAGAATTGTTCATTGTCCGTCGTCGTAGCCACGCCAGTACTCGGCGTGCCCACTACATGGCTCTGCTCTAGAGCGCTCACTCCACTTTGGCGCATGCTTTGGTATGAGTGGAGACAGCCAGCGGAGCTGCGCTGCTCTGCATAATAAAAGCACTTATTCCTCTTTCTCTCACACAAACAGCGTAGTAGAATGAAGACATGGGCGTAAGTGTGGCAAGGGTCTGCAAAGCAGCTGTGTGCGCAACCATGAACGTCTACGGTGATGAATAAAGAGCGCCTCTTTACAGAACTTTGAGTCGATTGATGACTGCTTCGATAACTATTCGGGGTTCCGTTTGCGGAGAGATGTGTGCGTTTCTTTTTTTTCCTCATTCAGAAAGGTACACAATATGCGAATTGCGGGGACGCTAACAGGAAGATATGTATCCGGTTATATACCTGGCCCTACAAAGTGTCTTTTAACACTCCTTTATCAAGCAGTGCATTTAAGAATGTTTTACTCCGAAAATGTATAAAATGGTTACATGCATTCCTTTTCATTAACGGCCAGAGGAATTTCGATATCACGAATTCATTTTCTTTTTCTCAAACAAATATTTCGAACCATCATATAATTTTGTCCATGTTTACATTTCTACAATACCTGCTAAAGCACCACGACAGTAAACAGTTCTTTTTTTTACAAAACAGTCGGTTGCGTCGTTTTAATTAAACTCGTTTTCAAACACTGCCCAGGAGGACAGCAACCAACTCTGCACTTTCTGGCACTTCCTTCACAGATTCCGTACATCAAAGCGGCCATGTCTGTCTCCAGTGAGCCGATATGGTTCTTCGGGAGCGCTTGGAGCAGCCCATCTTGGATGAAGACCAGCAACACTCTGGAGGGTCGCGGCACTCTGAAGGGCAAACCAGGAGGTCCATATTACAAGGCATGGGCAAAGTACTACGTCAGGTATAGTTAAAGTACAAGTACACACGCAACTGAAAGCCGCGGGAATAGATATGTAAGCGATGGACACGTTACGCAATGTTCACTGGCGTGACGCTTTTATGCGTCCAGAGATCAGAAAAATCACGTCACACAACGGATATTCAGTAGGAGAGAAGTGAAAATGAAAGTGCGATGGGAAATAAATCACTAGGACTTGATTGATTTGTGGGGTCTCACGTCCCGAAACCACTATATGATTATGAGAGACGCCATAGTGGAGGGCTCCGGAAATTTCGATCACCTGGGGTTCTTTAACATGCACCCGAATCTGAGCACACGGGTCTACAACATTTCCGCCTCCATCGCAAGTGCAGCCGCCGCAGCCGGGATTTGATCGCGCGACCTACGGGTCAGCAGTTGAGCACCTCAGCCTCTAGACCGCCGCGGCGGGGCATAAATGACTAAGAAGTATGGCTATGATTACGAGATAACATTATCGAAAAATATAAACGACTAGCAGTGTGACAACACAAGATTGAAGCTTTATAATAATTTATACACGTGAAGATGAGAGTAGTAGGTGCGACAGTATGCACAGAGCAACAAGTTAGGTACTGTTTCGTAAAGATTAAGTGAGAAATCGTGAAAAGCACTGGGAATTTCGCGTCTTCGTTTTCTGGTGAATCATACGGTAATTCAGCAACCAACCTCTGTTTTCCATAGTTTCCGATTAGCATTTTATGTCGACAAACGCTTGAGACATAGTTGCCACGTCTCTCGCAATACACGGTAATAATAATGTTATGTCAGGTTTTACGTGTCATAACCACGATATGAATGCGAGACACGCCATTGCGGAAGGCATCGGAAAGTTTGACCACCTGCTGTTCTTTAACGTGCATTGACATCTCGAAGCACATGGGCCTCTAGAATTTTAACTCCACCAAAATGCGACCGCAATGGCGTGCGCATTGAACCTGCGACCTTAAGGTCAGCAGCCGAACACCTTAACCGTTACTCCACCACGGTGCGACGCAATACGCAATACACGACTTGAACTTCCTTTCGTGTCCATGCTTTTACCAATATCACTCGTCAACTGCTAACAAGGAGCGATATATTCGATGTCCCTAGCCTCCTTCTTTGGAACCCTTGTTGCGGCCATGCACCTGCAGGAGAGTGCTAAAACACGAACATGAGCCCTACCGAAAGCCGTGAGTGCCTGTAAGCGGTTTAGGGTCTTCATAACGGCACTTTTAGCACTTGATAAGACAAGCACAAGCACCCCACACTGAATTTTAGTTGCGACAAAGTGACAGTTATATACTTTCAAGGTATGATGTACATGTGGTACTCTTATTCTGAGTAGTCTTAAAAACGCTTTAAGACGTGAGTTGCGCTACCTAAACTTCCAACACATGCAACGCAAATACTGAATCGCTGAAGCTTGTCTCCCAGAACGCGCGCTAACAGTGTACTCTTTATGTCGCGAATGGGTTCTACAAGTGTTCCTCCACACTATCGTGGTCTGTCAGGTTTGTACAGGAGTACGAGCGCCACGGAATTCCCATCTGGGGTCTGACAACGCAGAATGAACCCACGGCGGGCTTGATACCTGGCTATCGGTGGCAAGCGCTGGGTTTCACGCCGAAGACGCAGAGAGACTTCGTCAAGCTCGACTTGGGACAGGCGCTAGCTGAAGCCGGTTACGGAGCGGAAAAACTGCAAGTCATGATCCTCGACGACAATCGCATCGGCCTTCCGCTCTGGGCAGATGTGGTGAATATCACTATTATCCGGTTACTTCTCCACATGTAGTGAGTGCGTTGCGTGATGAAATATTGTCACACGGCACGCGACTTTTAGATTTTTTTTTCTGGTGTTTAGGTTTCCACTGGGTTTCAGAAAATGCTAAAACACAAAAGTGTGAGCAAGACCTAAACCCATGAGGGCCAGTCTGTAAGCGGTCATGGTAGTAATTCTGTGATTTCTAAATGTGTTACTAAAATGTGTAAATACAGCTAATAAGGCAGGTCAGTGCATTAGTAGCGTATCAGACGTATTGACCGTGAGAAACAGATCTTCATCACGAATATTATATTTTATGATGGCTTTTTTTTTAGCCACATATGTTTGTAATATTAATCGATAACGAGGAGAGTATAGTAAGTGAACAGAGAAAGCGGGCGAATAGGACAGGAAATGCGAGATTTCGGGTGGTTAGCTGGTAAAAGGACTTTTGGTTTACTATACTTTCACTGAGGGAGAAAGAACAGTAAACGAGAGACGTAAATCATAGCAGGAAAATGGGATAACGCGCGAAAAAAAGCAGAAGGCGCAAACTTGCCTTTTCTTTCTTTCGCAGGCGCTTTCTTTAGTGAAATATTCATTCCAATCAGCAACTTATTGAAACTCTTATTGTGCTTACCACGGTTTTGTTCTGCTGTAATCGCCTCGCTGGGGAGAGATTCAGGTTCCCGTTGTCTCGGCTATGCCATATCGGTTGGTTTTGTATGATTGTCATAAAAAGAATTGGACAACTTGGTTTCTCATTTATTTCGTCAGTATCAATGTCTCACTCGAGCACGATGCTTGAACGCAGATGTTTAACAGCTGGTACCTCATGAATATTGATGCCAAAAAAGTTTCGCGGAACCCCCCCCCCCCCTCCCCCGTGGAGGAGAGGATATAAAAGGGGAAATTTAAATCCTGCTGTTGCGAAATGATTTTTGCTACAACCGCGTCGGTTTCAATATTTCCTCACTCTCAAATTGATCGTTTGTCAAGACAGACCAAGGCCTGCCGGGGGGTACCACCTGTGTTTGCAAGACCGACGACAGTGACAAAAGAACGTGCTCGATAGTTTCCTCACTGCCACATGTGCGGCAGTATACGTTCAGAGTTACGTAATGAATGGAGGAGTAGAGGTTCCAGAAGATAGGAGAAAGGCTATGATTAATAGCTGATCATAAAGCAGTCGTCAATTTTAGGGTCACATGCGCATGCGACTGACCTGCAGGCGTCGGGTATTGTCGCTTTAGTGAAATTTCAGCATATTTCTTTAAGTCCCTCACCAACTAGTCGGAATACGCGAAAGGTTACGTGGATACTTCTGTATAAGCAGTGGGAGAGAGGCGTAAGCGGCAGAAATCTAGAGCGATTCAGGTGTGGCGACGTGTCGGTCACGTTGGCCGTTGTTATCATCGGTCGCCATAAGTAGCTGATCAGTCCCCAGTCGCGGACCATTAGCGTTTACTAATGTGTACGCCGATTTAGGAGCTCAGCTCCCACGAACTTCTTTATTCTAAAACTCTGGTAGCTTGTAACTCTCGTTGTGAGCTTATGCTAGTGACAAAGATGCATGACAACACCAGAAAACGGAAACATTCGCGCATGTTATCGTCACGAGGTTCTCCGATAGTCATGTACGGCAAGAATTTTGGTTAAGGGCAGCTGCTAACACACGCGTTGACAAAGTAGAGATGCCGAAATTCTCCTTCGAATGTTGAATCCCCGCAGAATGTCAGTTCATTTTCTCACGATGCAGTTAACTTTATAATATACAGGAATCAAGAGGATGGGGTCTCGGCCCAAGTGTTTCCTACTACTGCATAACAAACGTCGACAAGTGCAGCTGTGATTTCAAAGGTGGTGGTGGTTGTAACAAATTTAGCAATAACTTCAGCAAGTTTGTGACCTGGGCCGAGGCGGCCCCCGAGGAAGAATGGAGACTGTTTTTTCGCCGCCTCACGTGCTTGCTGGATGGTCCACAGTTGATCCTATAGAGGTTGGAGCTTCGCTGCGTGGCTGTAAACCCTGGGGACAGACTGAATTTTCTTCTGCTAAAAGTGCACATTCTCTGAGAATCTGCCGAAGTGATGCCTGAGTCCAGCCGCACAATTTGCAAGTATCATCTGGGTAGACGTCTGGATATATCCTCTTATGTTGAAAGGGGTCGGGGAAGGTCTTTGTTTGTAATTGCCTCCAATCTACCGCTTCGGATCTGTCGAGTTTAGGGCTTGGTGGTGAATAAAACCGCCCTGATTTCTTATAAAAGTTCGTTTGTCATATTAACGCGTCATTCTATCCCTGTACGTCCAGCCCTCCACGGAATGTCAATCCCCTGAAGAGGACCTTTCTACGCGGGCGCGGAACGTCAGACCTTGCGGCGCACGATGAACCTCCCCACTGAGTTTGGGCACGGGGGTCTTATTTTTTAATTGGTACCATCAACATTACTCCAACAGTATTTGTCTGCTAACATTACTCGTAACGGTTCACTACACAGGTGCTAGGCGACCCTGAAGCGGCCAAATTCGTACACGGAGTCGCCGTCCACTGGTACCTGGACTGGCTCATTGGGCCGTGGGTACTTGACAAAGTGCACGAACACTTTCCTGACAAGTTCATTCTTGCCACCGAGGCATGTTCCGGCTTCCAACCGATCGTTAAGGACAAGGTCAAACTGGGAAGCTGGGAACGTGCAGAGGATTACGCAAGCGACATATTGGAGGTGAGGTGTTGCAGTATATTGAGCCGCGATTCTGAAAATTGTTCTTAACAAAGATTAAGTTGTACTTTCGGAGGAACAGCATAGAAAATGCATATAAATAAATAAATATATAGAGTGCACGCTTGTGTTGAATAGGAAGGTTGTGGCGCGCTTTTGCTATTGAGTGCATGATAGATTTTACGTTAGCAGTTGAAACAATACATTTGTATAGATACTTCTGTGCAGGGTTGCCATTGGTGGCTGACTTCTTGTCAAATTGGTGAATTTGGGAGGCCCAGTGGCGAACCTAAAATTATGAAGGGTGACATGGCGATATTTTTGGCGCTTTTGGCTTAGGTCTAGACTTAGTTAGGCATTCTATATTCAGTGTAGGTACGAAATAAATGGGCAACAAAAGTCTTTTCAATTTTTCATAGATTTGGAGCCTCCAGTAGAACACGCACTTTACGACGTTACGCGCAATTTCAGTACCTCTGTCGTGTTTCTCGATTCACCTACATCCTTGAGGCATTGCCATACTGGTGCGTCCGCCAGCAACCTCCCAGATAAATTTACGTCAACGGAGTGTTTCACGTGCCACGAAGTAGTGCATGGTATAAGTTTTTTATGTGCTTTCAAAGTTTTAAGCTTTTTTGAAGCTTCGCTTCTCTAGCGGCTAGGTGATGGTTAGACCACGTGTTCCAACCACACTTCTAACTGTCCTCAATAACTTGTCAACTTCTTCACTATGGTAGTACTCTTTGATTTAGTATGTAGAGGGTAAATTTGTTAACATAATTTTCGGGCCAGTCAAGAAGTCGATGTTTTTGGACAGCCTTCAGAAACTGCACTGAGGTGAATGTGTAGCGTAAGCGTGACTTCAAAGAAAGCTGGCTGCTGGCATTGCAACGGTTACGCAGTCCTTTCGAATTTATTTCTGTTGTTTTGTAATTAAGTTGTTCGATTATCGGACACGTTAATTCACTACAATGATGTTCTTCAAAATCAGCAGGAAGGTTCAGCACACCGTCCCTCTCTTGATGTAGAGACTGTTTCACCCTTTATTCGAATACAGCTGAAGCCATCACAGACTTTTGTTATGAGGCGCTAGTTTTCAGGACACTGCTGGTGCATGCATGCTCTTTCTCAGCTGCTCCCATGGTAAAGGGGGTGGTTGAACTGGCATTAAAAAAATGTCAACATTATTTACGGTTACGGATAATATTGTACTTCAGGGGAAATACACAATTTGCAATTGTTATTAACTAGGCCCGCCACACATATGTCGAATGGCAACTTTTTGGGCGAAATTTGACAGCAAATAGCGACTTTTGGTGACTTTTCACCCGTGATTTGGCTAATTTCACTGAAAAGTCAGTGGCAGCTTGCTTCTGCGACAGATGCGAATTTTTCCGCAAGGAAGTTAAAAAACAGGTCTACGTACACCCAAACGAAAGGAAGTGCACGCTGACTGAAAAATTATATGCGATATGAACAACGTGGTATCAGGCGAACAGTGGCAAACGCCAATCTAAGTGGCATCATTCTGACATCATTGATTAGCTTGTTCTCACAACCTAAGGCATACACTAATGTGTGCATGACTTGGCAAAATGTGAGCGAGATGACATTGGGTGCAAAGATTCAGTGTGTATATATAAACCATGCGCATTCTAGAGCCTGCGCGTGTAGCAAAAAACATTATATGGAGCCAGAAATGTTGCATTGTAACAGTGGTACTGCTTAAGGTTTTCGCTGCACCTGATGGTGCGAACAAACAATAGTGTGATATTGTGAAGCATACGCTCGAGCATACGCTCGATTCATCCACTTCATCTGCTTTGCATCCACAACATATGTGCCAATTTTCCGGTGTCGAATGAAATATCAAAGTGGGGCGAGTCTGTTATGAGACTAAAGATCACGTAAAATGTAGTCAGGATAAGAAAACCACGTTACATCTTACCGTGCGGCTCAAAATACCGTAAAATCACGTAACATCTAGTCCCGCTACTAAAAATCACGTAAAATCACGTAACTAGGCATGAGACTAATGTCAATGTAATATCACTTATACGTATTATAGTCACATCATTAGAAATCACTTGCCATCACGTAACAACCAGTCACATGAATCAAATCACGTAACATGACGTGATGGCTAGTCACGGGATATGTGCCTTCCATGAACCATGTAACATCTAGTTACGTGACTAAAATTACGTAACTAGATGTAGTAACATGTAGTAACATGTAGTAACAGATGTAACATGTAGTAATCACGTAAAATAAATGTATCGCTAGCTCCACTGCTGGTCCCAGCTATGTGCTATAATAATGGAAGCTGCCCACATATTTTTAATGCGCAAATTTTTAGGCTCTTTATTTTTTGCGTCTCATTTTTTGAAATGTTTAAGTAATAGAACTGGCACTGAGCGTAAGTATTAGAAGTGGCATTGAGGCGATACTTTTATCGTTGTTATTTTTAATGTTTTCTCCCAACAATATTTTTTATTATTTTTATTGTTACGACTAGGACCTGAATCACTGGGCTAGTGGTTGGACGGACTGGAACCTTGCCCTAGACACGGGAGGAGGACCAAACTGGGCCAATAACTTCGTCGACTCGCCCTTAATTGTGAATGTCACTGCAAATGAGTTCTACAAGCAGCCGACATACTATGCACTGGCCCATTTCAGGTGTGTATTAAAATATTTCTCAATATTCTCATTCTCCTTGTTCTTCTAATCTGGAGTAAACATTTCCCGTGAAGAAATGTGTTTTAACAATTTAATAACAAAACAATAGTAATTGATTGATTGATATGTGGTGTTTAACGTCACAAAACCATCATATGATTATTAGAGACGCCATAGTGGAAGGCTCCGGAAATTTCGGCCATCTAGGATTCTTTAACGTGCACTCAATCTGAGCACACGGGCCTACAGCATCTCCACCTCCATCTAAAATGCAGTCGCCGCAGCCGGGATTCGATCCTGCGACCTGCGGTTCAACAGCGGAGTATTTTAGCTACTAGACTACCGTGGCGGGGCACGAAACAGTAGTAGTTCTCAGAAAATGTAAAGAGAGGAGTTATTACTTTATCAAAGATAGAGAAACCTTTGCACCCAAACGATCATTTTGACGATGTGGGCATAAATAAATACAAAGAACCAAATTTTACATCACAATAGAAACTGTCAAATCAGTATGCGCATAATAAACCCCAATCTGCCGATGCATCACGCTACTATGATAATTCATGTGGGCCCAAATCCCAAGCTTTTATTAAGTTCAAAAGATCTCTTTACAATTGGTCTTCTGTCTTCAATGAGCGTTCCTAACGGTACTGCCATGGGCACTGTCGAGATAAATTAACTTGCCTAAATCAGATTACCGTTACCGTTCGGTGATCGTCAAAACATCTAACAGCCCGGCTGCCGAATAAAAAACCGCGATCAAATTCTATATCACTGCCATTTCGCAGCCATAAAAAAGCGTCGCACACTATCCCCAGGGTTCTATGCGCGCAGCCCATTGCGTTTCTCGCGGGATATCACGCGCGATAATGTTAGAAGGAAACACGAACAAAACGCCAGACTGGAGGTGATTTACGGAATAGATACCGTCCAAACACAGCCGTCACAAACTGCTATAAGTTTATGAAATACTAGGAATACCAGCTCAATTGATCTAACCTTGTTTGCTTTTTTTCTGTCCTCGTGATTCATTCACAACTTTCAACTAGTATCGCAGCTGCATGAGCAGTCTTTTTTTTTAATTTCTTGGTTTTGGGAGGGAGGAGGAGGTAAGTTTATTTACAGAAAGGCAGAGAGGTCGGCCTGAGCGATAGCTTGCTCTAGCCTGCTACTCTACACTGGGGGAAGGGAAAGGGGAAAAGAAAGATTAATGAATGACAATGGTGAGATAGAGAGGTGAGTATGTAGTGTTCTTTCTAGCTGAGACACATTTCATAGCCGCGCACATAGTCCAGTTGTTTCCAAAAATGTTATAACTGCTCTTGTGACCGCAGTTGCACTGTTGGTGTCTGGCCAAGGGCCCAACATGGTCTCATCAGTTAATAACCTACTACGATATAGTCCAGTGGAAGAAATCAGTGTTTGTCGTTCACGTGCGTATGCTGGGCAGACACAAAATATGTGCTCAAGTGTTTCTGGCACATCACAGTGTTCACAATCAGGACCGGTGTCACTGCGACCGATATGTGCGTAACGTCTAGTGTACGCTACACCAAGACGAATGCGGTGGATCATACTTGTGAGTTGCCGTTTCAATTTAGGGGGCATGCGGAACCTCATTTCCGGGTCCCATTTGTGAAGTCGCTGGTGTCGCCGTTCCGGTTTGGTCCAGTGCTGAAGCGTGTAGCTGCGCATCACGCAGCGAAGCAGGGCGTTCGTGTCAGCTCGTGAAAACGCAATGCGTACTTCAGGGGCACTGCTTAAGGCATTTTTAGCTTCAGCGTCTGCCTCTTCGTTTCCCATCACGCCGCAATGAGCGGGAATCCACTGGAAAGTTATAAGATGACCATATTACACGCGCGTACAAACAGAGCTCATCGACTCAGCTTCATATTTTTGCAGCAAATTTCTACCCAGAGGCAGCGTCCGGATCGAGTGTCATCCGGAGCAGTCGCTTTTACGAAACAGAGCTCACCTCGAGTATGCGGCATTCACGACGCCAGATTCAGCAGTCGTAGTGGTCGTGTTGAACAAGTGAGTCTTTTTGAACAAAAATGTGTTTTGTTTTCTTTCAAGCCATATAGAGGCTATTGCACTTTAAGCCTGCATGTGTTGGCAATGGCTCATGCCACGCTCCGTCCATTATCGCTTGAATACAATGCGCAATATAGTGCGAATTTGTCACTTCACCAACACGCAACCAAATCCATCATTGTTCACGCCTGTGAAAACTGAGAAAATTTTACATTGCCGTATATTTAGCACTGTAAGTGCGTAATTAAAGTTAGACATACCTCGCTCTTCGTAATGAAAGAAAAGATTCACACTGATAGTCTGCGCTTGCCCCGTGCGCTCGTGGTCCGTGTTCTCTGCCACGCAGTGTACATCGATAAAAAATCACGAAATTTCCCAATCATCCAGCCTTATTCTCTCTCTCACTCATACACACTCTGCCTTAGCCTTGTTTAGTGAGACATATACAGCCAGTAATGAATTGACATTTTATAAGTGCTACTATGTATACTTCATCGCTCATGCACAGTGACCTCACCTTTGTTTCCTTTTTTAAAGGCATAACAAGAAACATGCGCTGAAGATCAAGGACAGGTCCGGTTCCCACACTGTTGAAAAGATAATCGATGAGCGGTCAATAACGACTCTTATTTGGCGGTAGACAGCACACCTTCATGCGAAAAGCACAATATTCAGGAGTCGTTTGCTGGCACCTTCTCCGTGTCGTCCCCCTGGGGGAACACATCTGAAACATTGGCCATGTTGGCGGCCCTCATCATGCACCCATGGTTCCAGCCATGACGTATTGCACCATGAATGACTAGTCAAGCTTCACGGCAAGTGTTTACTACTGGCAACCTCTCTAGTTGGTTGTGTGGTATTCAAACAGCCTAAATCACAACGCATCCGATCAAGGGGATTTGCATTATGCTCTTGTTTTTGTCTGTAACTTATCTTCCACGACACGCTCTCTGATATGTTTGTGCTCAATAAAGCTTCGTATCGCTTTCAATACACATTTGATTGCAGCTGATCACTATAGTGCTTGAAAAAGCTCACAAACTCTATGAACAAGCAGTTAAACGGTAGATTAGGGATGTAGAAGAACTCACAGATAACAGAAATGCAAAATAAACCAGCAGAACAAAAAAAATACATCACAGCATGTTCATGGACTGAAAGATTATGAGCGGGGCAAAGCATCCATCAGACCGTCTGCGCTTTCATCCGTCTGTGCGTCCATCCGTGTGTCCATCCGTGCGTCGTCCGTCTGTCCATCCGTCCGTCCATCCATGCGTCCTTCCGTGCGCTCATCCGTGCGTCCAACCGTGCGTCCATCTGTGCGTCCGTCTGTGCGTCCGTCTGTGCGTCCGTCTGTCCGTGCATTGCAGTGCCTCCTGCCACCCCTATTAGGTCGATATATGACCAAATTTCTCAGCCCCCCCTCCCTCAGGTGACTAAGGGTAGCTGCACTCCTCCTTCCTCCCAAAACACGCGGACCCGTAGGAGCCCGCGCTGCATCCACTTTGCGAGCCCTCCAGTCCACCACCATAGCCTGTTCGATGTTCATGGTGGGTAGCAGCACCGAAGCGCACTGAGTGATGTCTGGCGAAAGGGAGAGGAAGCGCTAGAGCGAGTGTTATATATAGGCGTGGTCCCATCAAGCTAGAGCACGCGCCGAGAGTCGAGCGAGTATTGCCTAAGCGGCGGCGCGCCACCTCGTCCGCGCTCTTGAAACGAAGAGCACAGCTGCGCCTCTAGCGGGAGCAATGAGCACTAGCGTACACACCGGCGCAACGATTAGAGACAACCCCGCCACCAAAAGGAGCGAGGTCCTAGTAGAGTTGAAAAACGCAACCACGGTAGGACACCAAGGGGCTGGTTTTGTTGCCAGAGTTGGAGTTGGCATAAATAAACTAGGTTGGCATAAAAAACGTTGACCTGACCTATACTAACTGAAGATACATATTTCGCGCTAGTGTCTCAGGGACTCAGACTCACCAAGAGTTTCCTCAACTGAAGTGACTCGGACTCAGGCTCACTGAATTTTTCCTCAGTCGAGCACACACGGACTCAAACTTACCAAATCATTGCTCACGGGACTCACTTAGACTAAGACTCACGGCTCGATGTGAGTCTGAGTGAATCGTCTCGTGACTGAGTTTGCCGACCTGTGGTGAGAGAGAGATAAAGGTAAAGGATAGACAGGGAGGTTAATCAGAGCAAGTCTCCGGTTGGCTGCCCTGTACTTGCGAAAGGGAAGTGGGATGGAAATCACGAAAGAAGGCAACAGAGACTGTAAGGGCAACGTAATAATCACAATAGCACTGGCCGAAAGGAACACACCAACATAGTCACCGAAATGTTACAACGCGGGATGCAGTGCGGTAGCCCTACGGAACAACAGCATCGCCCTTATAGCGAGTCGCCATGAAGTCCGTTTAGGCCACTTCTCGATGAGTTTTGGGTGCTGTCCAGTCATTTGCTGGGCAGAGCAAATAAATTATAGGGCAGCTAGGCCCAGTTAGGTAATAAATAAAACAAAAATGTATGTCAAGTTAATGATACACGACCATTGTAGCATCAAGACGATGAAGGGGTGAGGGGTTAGAGGAGACTAGATATGGACCAAGTGCCTCTTGTTCGCCAAGAAGCATCTGCCACCAGGAGGCGCAACTGGTATAGGTGGGCACGAATGACGCTTATTTTTCGTTTCGAAACCAGATGGCCTGTTCGAAGATGCAAATGTTGATCACAACAAGCACCACACAAAACAGCCTAATATTTACTGCGTAATGCATTTCTCCAAATATGGGTCATTCATGTCGTGATCAAAATAAAACATTTTGGGCTTATTGCCAAACAAGCATATATCTTTTTAATAAAGAAGCCTCTAATTTACCCTATCTTTCTTGTTTATGCACGTGGGATGCAGCTGCGCATGATCACCTTATTCTTTCTTATTGCGTTATCTGAATAGGTGCATTCGCCTGGACCCGTTCAACGGGTGGTTATTCAGTTTAGCGTGTCTTGTAAGTGCAGAAGTTTATCTCATGTAAAATATTTCGGTGAGATATGCATGCACTTTCACAAATACACTCCAAGTGCGGCAACGTTTGTGTACCGATAAAATAACGCTTACAAATGAAGCTATAAATTATACTAAATACAGCAAACTACTATAAAATAGTAGTGGACCTTCACTAAACACGCACGAGTTTACTTTTAAAATAGAGGTGACTTGAATCGCCTCTAGTATTGATTTACAAAATCAAGCGTTTTCAGCAAAAAAAAAAAGAAGGCTACGTTCTAAATTACATGGTAGAGTGATTACACAAAACTGCTTTCAGGACATTTTATGCGTCCACCACTCTGCGCATTTTCTTTTATACGCTATTCTTTCTTGGACACGTTTCAGAATGTTACGGAAGTGATTCTCTCACAGAACGCTTGTGCCCGTGTCTCAGTGTTTTCAATTTGTTTTCCTGGAAATCCTGGGAGCTGCCGCTCCCTCCTTTGCGGTGATGCTTCAGGACACACCTGAGAATGTTCCAGGCGTGCAACCGTCGCGCCGGACTTCGTCATCCAGGAAGCGTAGCAACGCGTCCAGCGACACCGACAGTGAGGCAACCGATTTGTATTCGGATGGCTTTGAGTCATCGGATGATGACTTCACGGTCGTCATGAATCGATCTACAAAACGAAGACTGCTGCGAACGGCATCGTCGGCAAGTGTTTCCACCGTTAAGACTGCACCACAGCGGTGGCCGCACACCATGCTGTTTATGCCTGAAGACCCTGCATCTAACTTGCGACTCCTCAACAGGCAAGTTCTTTCTGTGCTTCTCGAGGAAACCGCGCCGAATGAGATCAAAGACGTGAGGATCAATGCACGAAAGAATGTCCTTGCTGTAGACGTTATGCACCGTAGCGCACTGCAAAGCCTTCGGCACATAACAGAAATCGGCAACGTGAAAGTTCGGCCAATGGTCGCTACAGGTTGTAATGGCACTGTTGGCGTCATTTATGATGTGGATCTTTCCATCTCAGCTAATGACCTGCCAATACTAATAAAGCCAGCGACTGAAGGCACCCGCATTACGCACATTACCAGACTCGGCAACTCACGCTGCTCGAGGCTTGTGTTCGAGGGAGACAGCCTTCCCTCGTATGTCAAAGTTGGCCATGTTCGCCACTCAGTGCGTCCTTACATACCGAAGCCACTGCAATGCCACAAGTGCTTCAAGATGGGACACGTAAAAGGTGTCTGTGAGAACAAACTTGTGTGTCCGCGGTGCGCTGAGTCTCACTCAAAAGACGCCTGCAGTGCCACCATACTACGATGTCCAAACTGCCACGGCGCTCATGAGGCCTCATCCAAAGATTGCCCGCGGGTGCGAAACGAGCACGCGGTACTCAGGCGTATGGTGCGTGACAATTCAACACACAAGGAAGCTGCCGCTACACTACGCCGACGACGGCGTCGTGGGCGAAGACCATCACGGAAAAACGCCTCTACCGATAGAGAGATGTCATCCTCTATCAGAGAGGCTGACTCACGAACACCGAGCTCACTGAAGACGGATACTGCCAAACAGAAGAAAGGGACAGCAGTCGCGCCTTCCGAACAGTGGCCCTCTCTTCCACGACGTCAACCTACTTCGGAGCTGCATCAAATCCCGCCGCCCTCGACGACCCCTCAAACCAGTGATGCGATGAATGAAGATCAAGTGATAAGCTTGCTGCAATCGCTGATGAGTACCATGCGTGTCCTACTGAGTAATATGAAGACTTCTGCTGCGCAGACCGCACTGCATGTGCTGGACACCCTGAGTCCGGTGCTTGCAGCTCTCAGGTAGAACCATGGCCAGCGAGGCACCGTCGTTTCGAGCGGAAGTCAAGAATGCATCTGTCTTTCAGTGGAACGCCAGAGGACTGAAGTCGCGCATGTCTGACTTTAGACAATTTGTATTTGTGAACCGCTTCCCCATTATTGTGATTTGTGAACCCAACCTATGTGCTTCAATCAAGCTGTCAGGATATGAGTGCTTTATGTCCTCCACTCACAGAGACTGCAGCAAAGTTATTATATTCATGCGCCATGACCTCACTTACGTTCACCACAGAGTCTCGCCTGATGAAGGGAATCAGTATGTGTGCCTTACTGTGAAGAAGGATAAGGTTGCTTTCACGATTATCGGAGCTTACTTATCTCCATCAAGCCGCCTTGACTGCGAGCGCTTACGCGGTATTCTGACATCGACTCCAAGGCCATGGGTGATCACTGGCGACTTCAATGCCCACCATTTCCTATGGGGAAGCCCCAGGGACAACTCTAGAGGAAGAAAATTGGTGTCCTTAGCCTCGGAGTACGAACTCTGCGTTTGTAACGATGGAAGCCCTACATATTTACGCGGATCAGCCTATAGCAGCTGCCTGGACCTTACATTGGTTTCTCGCTCACTTATCAGGAAAGTGCACTGGTTTTCGGATCTGGAAACGCGGGGCAGCGACCATATACCAACTTACCTGTGTATAGAAGGTTTCACCAGCTCCAAGTCCTCAAGAGGCCTCAAGTACACCGATTGGCCGAAATTCAAAATGTTAATGGAAGACTGCTGTACCGATGGCTCATCATATAACCTAGAGGACTCGATAAAGGATGTCCTGCAGAATACCACGCATACACATTTGACTAGTCACAAGCGCACCGATTTCGACATCGAGCTTGAGAAACTTCGCGCAATACGCCGTCGTGCAGAACGAAGGTACCGACGGACAAAGTGCATGGATGATTTGAGGCTGGCTAGACGCATTCAAAAGAAAATGCAGCGGCACATGGATAAACTGGCTAGGCGACGTTGGACATCCTTTTGCGAGTCGTTGGATCCACGAAAGCCCCTATCACTGATATGGCGAACTGTCCGGGGTCTTAGCACAACCTTGGGTCAGCGACACCCGTTTACATCTCTGGCACTTCACCTTCGATGCAGAGAGATTGACGTCGCAGAATCTTTC